CCCCTGTACAAAAAAAAAAAAATCAACAAGGGCTTGGGATGTAGTTCAGTGTGAAGGCCTGTATTAAAAAACAAAAAAAGATAAGGCAGAGAAGAGAGAACTGAGGCCCAAGCCCTGCCACCCTGTGGAGCTCATTAAACATTGCTCATCCAGCAGGTTGGCTATGCACTGGAGGAGGGGAGCACAGAGACTGGGCTGAAGGGCAGGCCAGACTGGCAGTTATGTCCAGGGGCTACAGAAAGGAGGTTTACATCTGAGTGCTTGAACCAAGTGACCTCACTTTGCTTGTTTGTGAAATGGTGTTGGGGGTACTCTGTACAGAATCTTCCTAGTTTTGCCTTGGGCTGGGAAGTTAGCCAGCAGGGCTGGGGTGGGTGTTATGGAGGCAACTTCGAGCCCTCAGAGCCTGGAGTGAACAGAAGGGCCAGGTTCATGAGCTTGCCCCACCTCTAAGCCTAGAGCCCTCCTAGGCCCCCTGAGCAGTGAGAGCCACTCTTGTCAAGCTGCCTCCAGCCCTGTAGCCCAGGCCTTGCTGCCATGTTGGCCGCTGGGTGTGAAAAGCCCAGGAGTTGTTCTTGGGGTGCCTGGTGACTCTCCTGAGGGCTCTGCAGTGAATCTGCAGTGAGCAGGATTCTCAGAAGCCTCATGGACACCGTCCCTCCTCCTGGGAGGAAGATGGGTGGGGTAACTTCTCTGAACTCCTTGCCACACTGACAGAGCTGGGGACCTCTGGTGTGTGTGTGTGTGTGTGTGTGTGTGTGAGAGAGAGAGAGAGAGAGAGAGAGAGAGAGAGAGAGAGAGAGAGAAAGAAAGAGAGAGAGAGAGAGGGAGGGGGGGAGAGAGAGAGAGAGAGAGGTGCGGTTGGGGTAATGTATGCTTCTTGTCACTAGATGTGTGACATCTTCGCTGTTTTAAGGTTTTTGCAGCACATTCCTGAGGCACCAGAAGGGGGAGCTGCTGCCTTATCAAAAATGGTGGCTTCCTCTGGTCTCCAGCCTCTGATAAGGTTTACTATTGCATCTCTAGACAAAATAGTGCCCTTTTGTCCATTCCCTATCGGCCTCCTTCTCTCCCTTCTAACAACTCTTATCTGTAAGTAGAACTGCAGGTCCAGAACTTCAGAGATGAAACTCTCCAGATCAGCTCATCTGAATTCACACTGCTTTCTTTTTGAAACTGGCCACTGCACAGGCTGAATGTCTACATTTTCCTTGTAATTATCAAATGACTTGGGTTCTCTGCTTTTAACTTGGAAAGCTGCTGAGTGGAAAAAAGCCCTAGATGATACACTGAGTTGTTCATTACTGTTTTAAGTGACTCTCAAATGATTTCTTTCTCTCTGTGAGTTGATGGGGCCAGCAGGCAGTGGGTTCTGGGCCTAGCTGTGCAGCTCTGAGAATAAAGGAGTTGTAGCTGTGGAATTATGAAAATCTTCGTTTCTTTCTCTCCTCCAGCTTGAAAATTAGAAATTAAGTACAGACACTGGGTGTGGTGGTACCTGTAATCCCAGTGCTCTGGGAGGCTGCGGCAGGAAGATCACAAGTTCAAGCCTACTCTGGGGCAACTTAATGACTTAGTGAGACCCTGTCTCAAAATACAAAAATAGAACAGGCTGGGGATTTAGCTCAGTGGTTCCACCACCTGCCTTTCAAGAGCAAGGCCCTGAGTTCAATTCCTGTTACCAAAAAATAAAAAATAGAAAAGGACTGGGATGTAGCTCCTGTGAACACTCTGAATTCAAACCCCAGTAGTGAAAAAGACAAAGAAAGAAAGAAAGAAAACTATGTGTGAAAAGACAGTGATTCTGCTGAAAATGAGCTGTTACCCTCTTCTTTTCCTTCTCTTCAGTGATGCGATGCTTAGGCGTCCCAACCCGCGTAGTTTCCAATTTCCGTTCTGCACACAATATGGATGGGAACTTGACCGTTGACACCTACTATGACCGAAATGCAGAAATGCTACCAACTCAGAAACAAGACAAAGTATGGTAAGGACATACCATACTTCTGAGGGTGGAAGGAAGTGGTGACCCGGTCCCCGGCTCTGCCCTCTACACTATGGCTGATGCTCAGGGAAAACCCTGCAATCCAGAGGCTGCTCTGCTGCTTAGATATCAAATCAAGCTCATTTCAGAGCTGGGCCCCGGGAGGACACTGCGAGGCCTCTGCCACACACAGAGCCGTGCACCCTCCACCGGCTCTGTTGCTCCCCGACTGTCACTCTGTGCCTTCCTCCTCCCTGCCAGGGACAGAGCCTGCCAGTTGCCTCTGACTTCCTCTCTGGTCTCCCTGCACTTGTTCTCTCCCTGCTTCACCGTTCTGTCCCTTTATTTATACTTTTCCATTCTCTCCTCTGCTCCAGGTCTGGGATCTTGTCTTTCCCTTCCAGCTAGTTTCCAGGCCAGACTCCTAGCATGAGTCCGAGCGGGCATCCTGCGAGTCCCCCGTCATGGGACCTCAGCCTCCTTGTCTGTAAAATGCAGGTGGCACCTGTTTCACCGGGTCATTAGTGTGAAAGGAGAGGCCTATAAGCAAGATGAGGATTTCAGCCTGGGACCCACACCACCTTTTCCCAAGGGCTCGGGCTCCAGACACAATGGTGGATGTGAAGAACTGAGTCACTTATGTGGAACTCCCTCTCTGAATGCATCACCTGAGTTGTGAGTCAGGCAGGCCCCAAACAGGGGCCACTCTGCTCAAAAACAGATAAATAAATAATCAAAGGTCATTTTCAGGCTGTCAGTAAAATAAAAGGAAGCCTGGAGAATGGTTTCTAGATTGTAGGAGACTAAAGATGGCAGACAATCAAATTGGATCCTAGACTGAATCCTGTGATGGGTGGGAAAAGAATGCACATCCGGTCAACTGATGAAATGGAGAGGTAGTCAGTAAATGAAAGTATTATATTAATTTAAGTGCTAAATTTGACTGCTACGTAAAAGAAGATCATCATTCTTGAAAAAATTACATCGACGTGTTTCACACGGTGATTAAAAATGTGAATCATTTTTAAAAATTGCCACAGTGAAGGCTACCTTGACATTAATCTCCCCAAAACACTCGCCCTCCCTTCACACACACACATCCCCGTCGTTCTTGCGGCTTTCTGAAGCGGTTCTGGGAGCCCTCTCTTGTGACTATCTTTGTAAGGTGTGATCAGAATGACAGCGAATACTGCTGCTGAGTGTCACGCAGGGGAAAGGTAGGCTCATAACAACGTCCGTGTGCCCTCATCCACCGTGGCCACCAGATCTGACACCATGAGACTGGGGTCTCTGGCTCTTCTTAAAGAGAAAATGATCGCGAAAGGTAGATGTCTTGAATGGATTCAGACACTTTGAATGATTCAGACACTTAGGAAAGGGGATTTCTAGAACTGCTTCAGAAAATGGCAAGACTGTCCAATAAATGCGACTGAAGCAAGGGGGCGTATTTTGAGGGGAATTCATAGCCATGTGTCTTTTACTGTAATAATTTTAAAAATTTAAATATTCAACATATTATGTGATCATACCTCTTACTGGTATTAAGAGGAAGCAAATGAAAAAATGTTGGTAGTAGATGAATCAGATAGATAGACGTTCTCTGTTCCATTCTAACTGTAAGCTTGAAGTTACTCTCTAATAAACAGTACAAGAAAGAGGGGGCAACAAAACACCCCCCTCAGTGTCTGCAAATCCTGAGTACATAGAAGTCCCTTCTCCTTTCTCCCCTCTGCAGGAACTTCCACGTCTGGAACGAATGCTGGATGATCCGGAAAGATCTCCCACCAGGATACAACGGGTGGCAGGTCCTGGACCCCACTCCCCAGCAAGCCAGCAGTGGTGCGTGAGGACCATGGCAGCAGGGCTGGTCTCTGGGGGTACTGGGTGAGCCGAGGCTGAAGAGGAGCAGCGTCTCCCCCACTCTGCCTCAAGCAAGCCTCGGATTGGGAGTCCAGCTTTGCCAGTGGTAGAGGGGTCACCTGGATGTCACTGGGATCCTCAATGTCTTCTTACATGGAAAGAGGGGAAGATGGTGATGGCAGCAGCCACATCATGGGTGGCTCTGAGGATCGGATGAATGAATGGGGGGAAAGTGGTTGGTAGACCGGAGGACACCCCAAGAGTAAGTGTCACGGTGCTACTGCCTCCTTTCTCCCCACCTCCCACGGTTGCGACTGGCCAGCTTGGCCCATATCAGTACAACATCGCACAACTTCTATTGCCCCCCAGGGCTGTTTTGCTGTGGCCCTGCTTCTGTGAAGGCTGTCAGGGAAGGGGACGTCCACCTGGCCTACGACACCTCTTTTGTGTTCGCTGAGGTGAATGCGGATGAGGTCGTTTGGCTCTTTGAAGATGGCGAGGCCCAGGAAATCCTGGCCCACGATACCAGTTCCATTGGGAAGGAGATCAGCACCAAGATGGTGGGCTCAGAGCAGCGCCAAGACATCACCTACTCCTATAAGTATCCAGAAGGTGCCTGAGCCAGGGAATGGAGCAGGGGTGGGTGTAACTACTGGGATGGCTCCTGCTCATGGCAGATTCCGGGGGGGGGGGCACATGGCGCTAGCAAAGAAAAATACAGGGTGCTTGGTTAAATTTCAGTTCCAAATATATTCAGATAGGGGATTTAGCTCAGTGGTTCCGCTGCCTGCCTTGCAAGCACAAGGTCCCAAGTTTGATCCCCAGTACCAAACAAATAAACAAACAAACATATCATCACCCAAATATGTTCCAAAAGCAAATATTGTATTCATACATCTCAAATGGTCCATAAAATATACTAAAAAGTAGTTACTATTTCTTTGCAATTCAGATTTAACTGGCTGTGGTTTTTAGTATAAACATGCTCCAATTCTGCATACCATATACTATACTAGAAATTCTTTGTCATCTATCTGGAATTAAAACTTCATTGGAGGCCCTGTATTTTATTCTGTAACCCTATCCCAAGGTCACACTGCTGTTTCTCTGTCCATGACGGTAGGGGTGGTAACAAGGGCAGAGGTGGACATTCAGGAGGGAGAGGGCTCGAGGGCCTATGGGAGAGCGTGGATGTCCTGAAGAAAGGATGCTGAGGACTGAGCAAGCTTCTGCTGTGCTCTGGTGGTGTGAGCCTGGGCAGCCTTACCACCCCCAGGCCTCCACCTCCGCATCTGTACGACAGGGCAGCTATGAGGGGTAAGTGAGCTAATGCAGGGAATGCACGAGGGAGAGTAACTGCTCCTGAACAGCCTCAGTGCTGAGTAGCCCCCAAAGGAAAGAGACGGGATTCTGCTTAAAAGAGTCAAATAATTTAGGAGAGAGGATGCTCGACAGCCAGAGAAACCTCTGGCCCAGACAATGATGGTGATAGTGATAAAGGTGGCAGTGTTGATGACCAAGAGCAGTTCTGAGGGCTTCACTTCAGCAACACACGCAACCCAGCTTCTTTGGGCAACTCTGTGAGGCAAGCTGGTATCACCCAAGCACCAAGAGATCAAGGGGACCCGGAGAGCAAGGGGGCAGAGCATGAGCTGTGCCAGTGCCCACATCTGTGGCTGGAAGTTGAGTCACTTGTTTCCCCAAGAAGGTCCTTCGTCCTCCCTCCTCCTCCTCCTCACTGATGTTTTTCCTGTTTCTCTGCTCCTCCAGGGTCCCCCGAGGAACGATCTGTATTCATGAAGGCATCCTGGAGAATGCTAGGACAGGGAAGGGTTCCCTCACCCCTCCTGGATCTCCTGGGCTCCAGGGCCTCTAGGGCTCGGCCAGCGCAGCTCCAGCTTCACCTGGCCAGGGCTCCCGTGTGGGGCCAGGACCTGCTCCTCACCTTACATGTCCGGAGGTTGCGGGATGGTGCCCACTCCGGGGGTCCCCTCAGACTGGAGGTGCGGCTCTGCGCCCAGGCCCTGCTACATGGGGGCGGCGCGAGGGAGCCCCTCTGGAAGCAGACAGTGCACCTGGACCTAGACTTTGGGAAAGGTGCGTATGGGGCTCAAGGAGGCCCCTCCAGGGAGACATCTTTGGGTTTGGGAGCTGGGTGGGGCTGGTCCAGCCAGATCGGACAGCCCCCGCCAATGCGCACACAGCGCACGCGGATGGACAGTCAAATGCCCATTGTGGCACCTCTCGTGCCATCTTGCCAGTGGGACAGCAGTGAGTTCTGGGGCAGTCTGTGCCAGTTAAGCACACTGTCTGTCTGTCTGTCCATCTGGCTGGCTGGTTCTCTCTGCTCCTCTCTGTCTCTGTCTTTCCTTACATGAAAACTCACTCACTCTCCTCTGTTACTCAAATCCTCTCTCCCTTTCTTCCTGACCCATCCTTTGGACTCAGATGTGTTTGTCTGTGCACAGAGATACACTGGCCCCTCCTGCTGCCCTACAACAGTTACAGAAACAAGCTGACCGATGAGAAGCTGGTCCGACTGTCCGGCATTGCCAAGGTTGAAGAGACAGGGTGGTCGATGCTGGTCCTAAAAGACCTCTCTCTGGAGCCGCCACACTTGTCTATTCAGGTGAGGTCTCTGGACGGAGAAGAGGCTCACAGGCCTCTCTGCCTCACCTAGCACAGGGCTTGGGGGATAGCAGCAAACGTGGTACCATCCTTGCCTCAGACACCAAGTGATGTCTTACCATGCAGCAAGTACAAAGTTCAACATGGGACATGAAGGCCCCAGGGAGAGGCGACTTTCTATCAAGGATCCCAAGGAAGGGTTGGTGGGGGCTGTACCCATTACCTAGGCAGAGTGCTACTTGCCTCAGGGTCCTAGTACAACACAACAGATGATGAATAGGTTAGAAATTGGTCCCTATTGGCATGGGACCAAGGGATGATTTGTGTAACTCTCCTGGATTCCAAAGTCATTTTAACCCAGTTTGCTTTGATACCCTCAATAAGGACTTGGCCCTTTCATTTGAAGTCTGGATGGGTCAGGATATATTCTCCCTTCTCCTCCAGTCCTTGGAGAAGCCAGAATGTATGGTAGTGGTCAGAGCTCATTTCGATTTGGGACTCACTCACCAACAGCCCTCAGGTGGCATGTAGCGTAGCAGGTGTAGGTGCTTCAGCACTGCCTGGGCCCGAATCCCTGCCTCCCGAGACAGCCTGAGGCCATGCTGCCTGCGACATTGACCTCAGGATGAAATACTGAACACCTCTGAGAGATCTCGAGGGGAGAGGAAGACCTGGCAGCATGGGGCAGACTCAAGGCTGGGGACAGGGGCTCTGGGTCAGGTCCTGGCTCTGTCATTCATGCATCATGGGGCCTTGGCCTCTTCGTATCCTCACTGGTGGAGTGAGAGGTCAGGATGGCTTTACTGATACTCACACCAGTGGCACGCTACTCCTGCCTTCTCCTGTGCCTTCACCAGACTACTAATTAATCATGGCTGATGGGTTTTCTTCTCAGGATGTCACTTTGTGCAGCACAAATGTTAGAGAGCTCTCTAACCCTTCAGAGCTGGCCCTTCCTTTGAAATCTGCTAAGCATCATGAATGATATGGTGGGGAGGGAAGCAGGATCCTGACTGGTCGCAGCTCCCGGAAATATCTTGACTTCCAGAACGGGCCAGCACACATGTTAATCTCAAATATTCTCCAGTCACAATCTTCCCTCCCAGCAGCAGCATCCTGTCTCCAAGTAACAGTCCTGGTGGTGTCAGAGGGTGGGGGAGGAAGGCTACGGACTGGAGGGAGAAGCAAGGCCAGTTGCCCATGACACTTCCGCTTTCTGTCCACACAGGTGTCCGAGACAGCCCAGTTGGGCAAGGCCCTGAGAGTCCACATCTCACTCACCAATACACTAATGGTGGCCCTGAGCAAATGCACCATGGTGCTGGAGGGAAGTGGTCTCATCAACGGGCAGATAGCAGAAGAGTAAGTAACGCCACTGTCTACCTCTTGAGCCGGTCCCCTGTGGAGTCAAGACCCTCTCAAGCCCCCGATGGTCCCTTTATGCCCCCACTTTCCTGGCCTTCTCAGGAGAGGGGGACATTGGTGCTGTGGAATGAGAGGTGCTCACCTGCCACAGGGGACCCCAAGCGCCCACCCAAGCTGTCCATCATTCCTCGGGGCTCTAACAGACTCTTTTGGACTTTCAGCCTTGGAACTCTGATGTCTGGAGACACTGTCCACGTTCAAGTAGACCTCTACCCCAGCAAGGCTGGGCCCCGCCAGCTCCAGGTCCTGATCAGCAGCAGTGAGGTCAAGGAGATCAAGGGCTACAAGGACATCTTCGTGGCTACAGCTGCGGCTTCCTGAGCCAGGTCCAGCCTTCCTGTGCCTCTCAGGTCTCCTCACCCCTTTCTCTTCTGCCTCTGTCCTGGGAGTAAATGAAGTAGCAACGGAGATGTCTTCATCCCTGGTGTTGTGGCTCCTGAGCTGATCAGACACTTAGCGCTATCCATGTGTCCCCTCGGCCTAGCTGCCAGCTGTGTGGCTGGGCCCTTCTTGCTCCTTGAGCCCCCTCTCTGTTACCTGAAGGGGCTCCACCAAAAGATAAGCCTCCACAGGCCTGGATTGCCTCTCTTGAAGGATCTAGGCCTCTCCCCTTCCATTGTCTCAGCAAGCCCAGGTGAAGTGATCCCTGAGCAGGATACCAAATGCTGTGCCTGCTGCCCAGCAGGGCTTGTCTGCCCACCTGGGAGGCCCAGGATGGGGAGCAGTCCCTTCTTGGTGGGTCCTCCTCCTGAAGACAGGGCCCAGGCCCCCTCAGTTCAGGCCCCAGGAGGCCTGGGAAGTGCTTCTCAGGAGTGACGCATCCTCCCTTCTTGCCTGCACTCCCTAATCTTTCACCCAGAGTCTCCTCAGCTTCTTGTATGTTGTTATTTTCAGGACAGGGAGATCCACTCTTTTGTGTTGTTTTTCTTATGGTTATCAAAATCATTCCTACTCATTATTATTATTATTATTTTCTACTGGGAATCTGGTCCCTGAGTCTCCCTGGGCCTTGGAACGCTCTGGAGCCGGCACCCCTAGCCCCCCAAGTTGTCCTGCCTCCTGCGAATGGCAGGAGTGTCCACATCTCCGTCTTGGGTGTCCTCCCCTGAGGTCATCACTGATTCCCTCCTTCCATCCGGAAGGGAAGGCACTCATCGACACAGCTTACCTTCCCTGGACCCAGAAGTGTGCAACTCTGACCAGCCTGACTCCCTGCTCCACACCTGTCCACACACCCTCTGACTAAGGCTTTACAGGAGGCAATCGGAAAGCTAAGCCTGTGAAGCAGCTCATAGGCCCAGAGCCCAGGTCTCCTTCAGCCAGGGGTCCAGGCACAGGAGGTGCTGTGGATCTTCCTGGCCCCATCATGGCACTGTCCTTGTGTCCTGTGGTGCTTCTGTAAGAGCCTGACTGAACCAGAGAGACTCCATGTTGACCAGCAAACGACCTAGAGACTGTCGCTTCCCCCCATCCCTTATAGGATAACTAATGATTAATTGTGAATTGTTAGGAGTGCTTTGA